GATGGCTGGAGTTGTTCCTTGTGTCTGCCTTCAGAGTGTTGGGATCACGGCTGTAAGCCAGTCTGGGAGGTGTGCGTGTGTGTGTGTGTGTGTGTGTGTGTGTGTGTGTGTGTGTGTGTGTGGTATAGATACTTGTAAAGAAGGTGTATACTCATGTGCGTGCCTGAGGGGGGTGGAGGGTGTCTTTCTCATTCTCTCAACCACTTTCTATCTTCTTGTTTTGAGACAGGGCCTCTCACTGAATCTGAAGCTTACGGGTTAAGGGTGGGCTGGTGCCTGATGAGATCTTCCTGTCTCGACCTCCCCTCTCCCCTTTTCGGTGGAGTTACTGGTCCTTATGCTTCCGCAGTAGGCACATTATTGACCGAGCCATCTCCTCAGCCATACATTTGGGTTTAATTGGTCCTAAGATGATGATGAAGATCTTTTTCTTCTTCCTCCTCTCCCTTCCCCAAGGTCTCTTCCCAGCCTGGGACTCAAACCCAGAGACTATCCAAGTGCTCCAATACTAGGGTAGACTTATTTGTTTTTAGAGACAACCCTCCCCTCCCCCAGATATGTCCATGTGCAGCTTGAGTTGAAAACAACTTTCTTGTTTTTGTTTTTTTGTTTGTTTGTTTGTTTAGTTTTTTGTCTTTTGACAAGATTTCTCTGTGTAGTCCTGGCTGTCCCGGAACTTGTTCTAATAGACCACGCAGGTCTAGAACTCATAGAGATCTACTTGCCTCTGCTTCTGCCTCCCCAAGTGCTGGTATTAAGAGTGTGCAATGCTATTGCTATTGCTCATCTGAAAACAACTTTCGAGTTAACTACTGTGGAAGCCTCAAACAGCTAGGATCATGAGTTTGCACTGCAGACACAGGCACAGACATGCTGATGGGATTCCTGTCACGGCTAACATGCCAGAGCCAGGAGCAAGCACAGCCACTTCTACACTCCCTGCCAAGGAACCCTCTCCTTTATCCCCAGTCAGCCGCACACACCACTCCTCACACCCGATCCACAGGGAAGAGGGAGCTATTGGGTGCCAACACCGCCATCCTGGAACTGTAGCTAAGGGCTTTGAGAGCACTTTCTGATCTGAGGTAACAACTTTCTGCTCAGGACAAACCTCACCATGAGACCTGCCAGAAATTACCTCACTACCTGTTTCAGCAACTTTGGCTGTAAAATTAAACTAGGACTCGGGGTGTAGCTCAGTGGTAGAGGGCATGGTTAGCGTACGTGAGGTCCGTCATTTGATTTCCAGTACTATCTGTTCTAAAAGAGTATGCGTAATTAACGAGATGAATTTGCCAAAAGTAACGTGAGATGTAATAAGTAAATAATTGTGACGTTCTCTGAATGCATAAATTCTCTTTTGTAAAATTCCATACAACAAGAAAGAAAGAAAGAAAGAAAGAAAGAAAGAAAGAAAGAAAGAAAGAAAGAAATCCCCAGAATCCACATGGCAGGGAATGGAAGCCTCCTCTGATACCTGTGGCACAAATACATTCTCTCCCATCCCCAGACTTTTCACACACACACACACACACACACACACACACACACACACACACAAAACCAGGGTCAGTGACAGGTCTCAGTGGGTAAAGGCGCTTGCTGCCAAGACTGACCACCTGAGTTCAAGCCTCAGGACCCACAAGGTGGGGAAGAAGCCTTCAAAGCTATCCTGTGATCCCCACACACAAGCTGTGGCACATGCACAGAAGAAAAATGCCATCTCAGAAAATCCTAATAAAACGAAGCACTAGTTCATATATCAGACCGAAAACAAAAAGCAGAGAGTGCCCCAAGGACTGAGAGGACTAGCCTGGAGGTTGCTGAGAGACATCTGCCCCTGCAGCCTCACAGAGCTGCTCTGCCTGTTACCTGTCTGGTTTGTTCACGTCCTGAGCTTCTGTGAGATAGTGATCCCATGCTTCTCATAAAGTTCTGTTTCCCCTGAGGCCAGCCATGGTGCTTCTTGCATGTAAAGCAGAATAGAAGCAATAAAATCTCTACTCATAATGTGCTTTGTGGAATGTTATGGGCCAGAAGTGGTGGCCTCCTACTACTAAGGAGGCTGGGGCAGAGGTATCAGGAGTTCCAGGCTGGTCTAGGCAACACAACTGTTTCAGGCCAGTTTGGATTGCATAGCAAATTTCATGTCAGCCTGGGCTACATAGGGAGAGCCTGCCTCAAAATAAGAACCAGAGCCAAATAGCCGGACACGGTGGCACACACCTGTAATCCCAGCACTCGAGGATGCAGAGTCCTCTGTGAGTTCGAGGCCGGCCTAGTCTATAAAGCTAGTGCAGGACAGCCAGGGCTACACAGAGAAACCCTATCCCCCCCCCCCCCCCCCAAAAAAAAAAAACCAAAAAACAAACAAAAACAAAACTTTTCCACATCCACACATATGCATACACATGAAAGTCCCAAGAGCTAGGGCGGTTGCTTGCTTCCAAGAGTCCTTGCACGAAACACAGGATAAACTTCCAACACCATAGCAAAACCAAGTGTGGTGACTGATGCTTGTCATTTAATCACCTGAGTGGCAGGGGCAGAAAGATCAGGAGTTCAAAGTCATCTTGAGCAACATATGACACCCCCCCCCAAACAAACAAACAAACGAAAAGCAAAAGAACCATTAAGAAAAGCAAAACAACTAAACATTAAAAAATAACCAAACAAAAGCAAACAAAAACAAAAATCCCAGTATATCCATCCTCTTCCCAGTTCAAGCAGGTTTTGTTCCTGGCCTGGGAGTTTGCATTCGGTTCAGTTCCAAAGGGATGGTGATGCCGCTGGCTTGTGGGACTTCTCTGGACATGCCCCCGTGGAGGGAGTGGGGTTGGAATCCCATGTTAATCCTACAACTGCGCTGCTTGTGTTTAGGACTTTATGCCAGCTCAACTATTTCAGGACTTGAACAGTATTTTGCTATTACTTAATCACCAGGTGTGGGGCGGTGCATGACTTTAATCCCAGCACTTGAGAGGCAGAGACGGGTGAATTTGTTTGAGGCCAGCCTGGGTTCTACAGTACAGTGCTACAGCTACAGCGAGAGGCCTTCTCGGAAGAACCAGACCAAACACTACATCTTTCATTTCAGTATGCTGTCGCAAAGGTGCTGAGTCATTTACACACACCTGTACAGATGCACAATCAGGAGGTTCTGGTTCCTCCATTCCCACCTGCCATCCCCCCCAAAATAATCTGGACTCCAATGTCTGAACTGAGGGTCTGTAGGTAACACTGTATTTTTCCTGGTCACCTTTTCAGTACCTAGTGCAGGGTTCATTCCTAGGCCATCCTACAGCTAAGCAAGCTCTTTACCTGGGGGGCTGGTCACCACCAGGCCAGGAGGGCGGGAGGAGCAGAGGCAGGGCTTGGAAGGCCTTGAGCATGATGAAGGAGTAGCTTCAGGGACCAGCTGCCGGGAGACAGATCAAATTTATTCTGGGGTGAGGAATAAATTATTATTATTATCAACAACAATAATAATAATTAATTTATTTATTATTAATAATAAATTATTATTATTATTATTATTAATTCAGGAGGTATTCTGATAGGCCTCACAGTGTGCTTCATTTGCATTAAAAAGCAGGGTCCTATTGCCTGTGCAGGGGCACGGTACCTAACTCTACTATAGGTGCAGGGAGGGAGCGCTAGCAGGGAATTGTGCTAAAGGCCTTCTATCAGATGTGGGTAAGAGGTATCTCTGCCTAAAGACGCTCTCCAGGTGAAATCAAACAGAGTAGGAGGCGCTGCTGGGGAAAGGGAGTTTTCCTTCTAGGGCCAAGCTCAGAAGGGCTCTCCTGGACTGGGGAGACTGCAACATCAAACAGCAGAGTCCTTCAACATCAAGATTTCAAGATAGTGTTCTCTGTGTAGCGCTGGCTGTCCTGTAACTCACTCTGCAGAGACCTGCCTGCCTCTGCCTCCCAAATGCTGGGATTAAAGGCATAGGCGATCACCACATGATTCCATGTACCTTTTTTAAAAAAAGTATTTATATACAATTTATTCACTTTGTATCCCAGCTGTAGGACCACCCCCTCCTTCAATCCATGTATCTTTGTAAAAATAATCTGTTGTAAAGTGAAACTTTTTTTAAAACTTAAAAAAAAGTGTTACCGCCAGTGTGTAGCACAGGCCCTTAATCACAGCACTAGGGAGGCAGCCGCTGGCGTTTATCTGTGAGCCTGGTGTATAAAATGACTCCAGGACAGCCAAAGTTACACAGAAAAATCTGTCTCAAAAAAAAAAAAAGTGTTTTGGGTGGGGGTGTTCTGCCTGCCTGTGTTCTGTTTTCAGTGTCTGAGGACAGAGGACTCTGGGACTGGAATTAGCCACCATATGGGCGCTGTCAACTGAATCCAGGTCCTCTGGAATAGCAACCAGTGCTCTTAAGCCCTGTGCAGTCTCTCCAGCCCTCTGCTGCTGTTCCTGGTTTGCACAGTGCTGGGGATTGAACCCAGGGTTTGGTGCATGCAGGGAAAGCACCTTATCAACTAAGCTACATCCTGGGCCTGTGTATCATTTCTAACTGCAGTTGTCTCAACCTGCAAAATTAGAGCAACAGCCAGTTCTTCAAGATACAATACTACTGTTTCTAGTCCCTGGAGTGGCAGCTTTGGAAACAGTCTCTCCTCTCTGCTCTCCAGACTGCTTCTAAGCTTCCAGTCAGTCTGTGTCACTTCCCCTCCTCTACTTTCTAATTCATTTTAATGGATGAGTAGTGTCTGTTCCTCTAGATCAGTGGTTCTCAACCTTCCTAATGCTGCGACCCTTCAATGCCGTGCCTCATGTTGTGGTGACATCCAACCACACAATGTTTTTGGCTGCTACTTCATAACTGCAACTTTGCTACTGTTATGAATCGTAATGTAAATATCTCATATTTCCGACTGTCTTAGGCAACTCCTGTCAAAGGGTCAAAGTCTACCCCCAAAGGGGTCTTAACCCACCGGCTGGGAACTGCTGCTCTAGATAGAAGGCAGCAGGCACAGTTCACTGGTGACACTTTATTTAATCTGTTAGTAGCACACAGACCAAATATTAATCACTCAAAACCATGTCTCTGTAGAAGGGGGAACAATACAGGCCGTTCTGTGAGGGGCTGGGTGCATTTAATCATCGCTGTCCTTTAGGGATTTTAGCTTCTTCTTATGACGCTCAATTTGTTTCTGCAGACGCTCAATCTCCTTGGCGTGGTACTCTATCTCATCTTCATGATGCTTCCTCAGGGCAGCCAGCTGTTCTCTAGTCTTCTCTCTGTAAGGAAACAGTGGCGGAGGGTTTAATTCCAACCTTTCATGCCAAAGAGATCTTTATTTTACTCTTTTTTGTTCATTTTTCGAGGCAGGGTTTCTCTGTGTAGCCCTGGCTGTCCTGACTTGTTTTGTAGAAGAGGCAAACCCACAGAGATCTGTCTGTCTCTGTCTTTTCAGTGTCGGGATTAAAGGTGTGTACCACCATGCCCAGTTCTTTATTTCACTTTTATAACATTTATGTTGCAGAAAATAAAAAAGGCTTTAAATATTTACTATTAATAGCCTATAATCTTTTACGGCATTATTATTAACCTGCTACCATAGCAATAAAATGCCTACACCTGGGCAGGGCAGGAGCGAGGTAGGTGTGGCCACAGTCCCTGGATCACGGGAAGGAAAGAGACAGGACTAGAGGACAAGAGGGAAGTGGGGATGCCATGGGTTACTGTGGAGAGAACCACATGGCCGGGAGGAATTTACTCAGTGTTGGAGAAATGATTAAAAGCAAATGGCATTGCTGTGTGGGGCCGGGAGAAAATAAGGTAGCTTGAGGGGTTTATATCTGCCCAGCCTCAGGTTTGAGGCGTATTGAAACTACAGCAGGTGTCTGGGCCCTTGATTGATAGCAGGATAAATAATCGCCACAATAATTATGTGGTTTAACTATAGATATTAATAGACAATTTTTCCACCACACATTCACCTGTGAGTGTGCACGCAGGGTGAGGGGGTGGTAGAGGATGGAGCCTGTGGGAGTCAGTTCTCTCCTATCACGTGAGTCCCAGGCATCAAAACTCAGGTTCATAGTCTTGGTTACAAAGCACCTTTACCCTGTGACTCATTTCTCTGACTGCCAAGGAAATCGTTAATGATAACCAGTGATTCCTAAGGCAGGCCGGGTCAGCGGCTCACCACTGTAACTTCAGCTGAGATGAAAGGGAATGCTGGGAGTTTGAGGAAGCCTGAGTCCCAATACAACTTCAACTACACAGTGAGACTGTCTCAGAAGCCCCAAACCAGGGACGAGAAAGATGACTCAGTGGTTAAGAGCACTTGCTGCTCTTGCGGAGGACCCAGGTTCAGTTCCCAGCACCCACATGGTGGCCTACAACCATCTGTTACTCCAGTTCTAGGGGATCCAACTCTTGTCGTTGGTTAAGTTCCCAATTTAAGCATTCTGAGTTGGGACCGGGAACACGGCTCAATGGTTAAGAGCAACTTCTCTTGCAGAGAACTCAGGTTCAGTTTCTAGCATCCAAAGAGCAGCTCACAGCCATTGATAACTGCCGTTTCAGGGGATCGGATGCCCTCTTTGAGCCTCTACGGGTATAAAGAAATAAAACAAAATCAGAGATGGAGAGATGGCTCCGACAGCAAAAGAATGCATTTCTCCTTCGTAAGAATCCACATTCAGTTCCCAGCACCAGTGCAGGCAGCTCACAGCTACCTGTAACTCCAACTCCAGGGGCTCTGCTGCCTCTGGCTTATGATGGCCCACACACATGGAGGAGCGTGCATGCATGCACACGTGTACACGCGCATTTAAATAAAACTGTGCACCACCACCATCAGCTTCTTTTTGAGATTTCTCTGTTTCGTTTTGTAGCCTATGTGTAGGGAGTGTTGTTGTCGTTTTTTTAAATACAGCATTCTGCCTGCACACCAGAAGAGGGCACCAGATCTCACTATAGATGGTTGGGAGCCACCATGTGGTTGCTGGGAATTGAAATCGGGACCTTTCGAAGAAGTCAGTGCTCTTCACCTCTGAGCCATCTCTCCAGCCCTGTGTGCGGGTGTTTTGCCTGCATGTATTTGGATTTTTTTTTTTTTTTTTAAGACAGGGTCTCTCTGACCTGCATGCGTGAATGCACCACATGCATGCGTGCATTGCTTATGTAGGACAGGGAGGGTGTGGGGCGTGATGGAACCGGAGCTATAGACAGTTGTTAGACATCATGTGAGCACTGGCAACAGAACCTGGTCGCTCTGGAAGAGCAGTCAGTGCTCTTAATCCCCAAGCCAAGCCAAGTCTCTCTAGGCCCTGCATACTGCTCTTGCACAGGACCTCAGTTTGGCTCCCAGAGTCCCCTTCAACAGCGCACAACTGCTTGTATCTCTAATTCCAGGGGCACCCACTGGCTTCCCCGTGGGCACTTGTGCTTATGTGCACAGTCACAGAATTAAAAAGGAATCTTTAAAAGAAAGAACACCCAAACACAACCCAACAAAACAATAATAACTACGATAAAAAACGGAGGTTCCAAGCCTCTCTTTATAGAGGTATACACAAACACACACCTCTAGAAGTACATATATATATGTATTATAGGCTTATACCTCTCCGTGTAACATTTGGAAGGCTGGGGCTGGAGAATTGCCATCCAGATAATTTTTTTTTTTTTTGGTACTGGGACTTGAACCCCGGGGCCTCGGCATGTTTAAGGTCTTCTTAGTCCATAATTGAGCAACAACCCCCGAAGGCTTAATACGGAGACCAAAGGAGAAACGGAAGCAAGATTAGTTTCTGGCTCCTCTCCAGTGTGGACAGAAGTTAGTTAAAGATAATTCAGGGCTGGGAAAAGGTTGTAGATAGACCTAGTCCACTCCCTGTTTCTAACCAGCCGGGAGAGAAACCTACGACTCAGGGTCTGAGTAGCGCGAAAGTCTCCTGGGGTGGGGAAAGTCTAACCTCGAGCAGGTATTCCTTAGTTCTTCTGAAGAATGGGAGGCACGTGGAGGAGCTAGAAATGGCTGACGTGGTCTGAGGTCTCAGGGAATGGACACAGCCTTACAAAACTAATGCGGGGAGAGGGCGGTAGGGGGAGAAAAGACGAGGAGGCAGGTGAGCAAGACGGGCTCAGAGGGTCTGCAGGTTCTGGCTGGATGGAAGTAAACAACGCTCGAAGCGTCTGGGGAAGTCTGGCACCACTAGGGTTGCAGGGGGCGAGGAAGATGGCAGCCAATGGTCGGTTTGGAGCCAAGCCTTGGGCTGAGTCTCCTGCAGACCCCGTGCAAGGGGCTAAGGGCTGGGTGGGAGGGCGGCAGCGTGACGTTCACTGTCTGTCTCAACCACGCTGAGACGCAAAGGTTTCATGGGCCTTGGAATTCTGCCAGAAGATGGGCGCCCCCAAGGGACTAGGTAAAGAAGAGTAGGGCGACAGAGGGCGTAGAAAGGACAGGGAGAGGGACTGGTGGCTGGACTCGGGACCAGGTGGGCCTCACCGGAAATAACGATCCTCTTCAGCCTTCTCCCTCTTCCCGAAGGCCCCGCCGGCTTCTCGGATGGAGCCAGAGCTGTTCGTGCTGTCCGGCTGCAGAGAGAGAGAGAGAGAGAGAGAGAGAGAGAGAGAGAGAGAGAGAGAGAGA